AGTGGGGCCGTTATATGTGGGCTCGACTGTACCCCTATATATAACGCGTTCAAGAGTTTTACAGCATACGCTGGTCAAAGAAATTGGCCAGTAGTTGGCAACATTATTTTTTGTTTGGACACTTTGATATTGGCACAACACTTGCTAGCTTCCATTCAGACGGCAGTTCCTGATCTTCTAAGCGATTTCGAAAATAAGACGGCTAAAAACGATGCTAAACTTCTTGCACACCTCTTCAACACGCTTATTAGAAATGGCATCCAGTCCCAGAACCGAGTTTGGTTGTTTAAGTCATTTAAGCACAGTGCACACACAATGTTATCCATAGGTTGCAATCCCTGGGGTGTCGTATATGGCATTTCACCTTGAAATGGTTTGAAAAACACCACCTGAAAATGTTGGTTTAAGGGGAGATGCAGGTCGAAAAAAGCATATTTTTTTTTTTCAAAATTACCAATTTTTTTATTTTTGCCTGTTTTGATAGGATTATTACCTCTACTGTTATGAAAAAAATAGAGGTCGGGACTTAACTGTAAATGCTTTAAAATTGCATCTAAAGAGCACAATGTGCCTGTTAAAAGGTCCAAAGTGTGCAGTCTTCGAGCACCTTGCCGCCGATAATGCGCCGCCACTCACCATTGTTGATCGCATGAGCCGAAGAGTCGAGCCTCACTCTTCAAATAACAGTTTCCCTCAATGATGCAGCACAAGAAATAATAAAAACAAGCACGCTTCAGCGCAGTTTTCACGTGCCGCGACTGGCTTATTACGTGGTACGGATTGGGGGACCGCCATTGGCCACTGCGGGCCTGTATGTGCTGTGATGCCTATTGCGGGGTCCATGTCTTGTCGAGCAGCGCAGCTGAACAATGCTTTTCTCGTGTAATTATCTCCGTTATGAATGAAAAAAGTCATTGCTCGCAAGTGAAAGCCGTTGTGCGGCAGGCTCTGTAGGAATAGGCTACGAGCTGCTGGTCTGATTTGCGGCAGTAGTTGGCGTGCAAAAGTCAATGCATCAGAAGTCATTCACACCCGTCAGCCAGAAAGTTTATGATGCGGCAATGGATGACGTCAACGCCAATCTTGTGAGGTCGAAAGAGCTCGCAGTGAGGGAACTTAGCAGGGACGACATTGCCATTATGTACAACGGTATGTGGCACAAACATGGCCGCAAAATGGCATGACACCGGACTTAGTTTGGATTTCTCAGTCCTGTTAAACTTCTTCCTAGCTTGTAGTTGGCACATGGCTCTGCCAGATGGAGCGAAAGTTTGGCGAGCATTTCATGGCCCTGTCTGTGAGCGAAATGTCTGTGAAGATTCGCCTCGAAAAAGCCGAGAGGGACAAACTTACGGTGCTCGCGTATTTTAGTGGCAGTGCCCACTACAAGAAGGCTTGTTCTTTTTGGTTGTCAAATTTCATCAGACTCAATGATATCTTTCATAAACCAAAACTCAATTTTAACTTCAAAACTCGTTTTCCTCAAAACACAAAGTTTGCCATTTTTTTCAATGTGCCCCTCCTTTTTTGGGCACACCTAGTGCTCGGATCTGCACGAAATTTTGCCCAAATTTTTGCCAAAGGATGACAAATGCAATAATCTAGTTTAAATTTCCATACTTTTTTTGTAAACTAAAGAAAAATTGTATGTAAACCTTTACTACGGTAGGTAAGATATAGACTTTTTACGTCTATTATTTTTCATGCCTATTACATATTTTGTATGTGCTTCCTAATAAGTTATTTTCATTCTATACTTTATATCAAACATTATGAACTATGAATGGTAAAAAAATATGGGAGTTCAGGGATGAAAAGAGGGGGGGCAAAGTGGTTAAGGTTTTCACTTTTTCATGCTGCAGAGCTAAAAGTACGCAACTTGCAAGAAAACTAATTATATATTTGAAATCAGCATAAAAAGTTCCATAAACAGCTCAAGTTTCATTGCTCTAGGGTGAATATTAAAAAAAAAGTGTCTCCGAGTAGCATACCCCCTTAAACAGGCTGCCTTCTCTGTATCTTTAGAAAAGGTTGATCATCAGTTATGTATGAAGTGCCAACAAAGTCCACCTTATTCGATTTAACATATTTCTATAGTTTCTTAAAATTAGTAATCAGTTTTTTTTCCAGGGAAACAAAAAAGCTATATTTTGCTTCTCTTAATTGTTTTTTAGCAGCCCACTTAACTCAGCGAGTTTTTCTTGAATATGAGCAGTTCTTGGTAAACAAAAATGCCTGAAAGTGCGACTTCTATTATTAATTATCTTTTTAGGCTTGAAGTAATCCAGTGTTTGTTAGCTCTTCATTTTTCAGAAATAACTTTGAAAGGTACTTGATTACTAACAAAACTAGCAAGCTCGGTTTTAAAAAGTTCCCAAAGACTGGTGATATTGATTTGTGGGGTTTAACGTCCCAAAACCACCATATGATTATGAAAGATGCCGTAGTGGAGGGCACCGGAAATTTCGACCACCTGGGGATTTTTAACGTGCACCCAAATCTGAGTACACGGGCCTACAACATTTCCGCCTCTATCGGAAGTACAGCCGCCACAGTACCGGTGATATTCACGATCGAAGAACACTCTTTTAACTCGGTGAAAAATGAAGTAAGCTTGGAAAATATCACTTCATAGTTTCCGTTTTCATAAAAATAAATGGTACACAGAGACATTTTCTTTAAGTTTAAATTTGGGTAAACCAAACTTCCAACAACTACCTCATGATCACTAATCCCAGTCCTAGTTGTCACTGACCTTAAGAAAGCGGCATGATTACAAAAAACAAGATCTAGTATGTTAGCACATTGCACAGTTCACCTAGTGGGAGATGCAACGAACTGATGCAATGCGCGCTCCCTAATGAGCTCTTCTAGTGCTAAGTACAAGCCGGACCGTGAGCGTAAGACGGAAGCATGACTTACCCAGTCAACATCCGGAAGCTTAAAATAGCCTACTAGTACTATACATTCCATTCTTAGCATAGCCAGTGCTTCAGACAAAGCTTCTAATGGCTGCGCACTGTTGGAGTTAGGCGGCTGATAAAAACAGCCCACCGCAACATGTGGCAGCTGTGACAGCTCAATTTTACACCACACAGCTTCGTACTGAAGGCTGGTAATTGATACAGGGCACGCTTTTTAATCTGTTATCAACCAATAAACTCCCCCTCCGCACGCATCGCTACCTTTGCGATGGACAATAATATGTTAAGGAAACACTTCTACGTTGTAAACACTGTCATCAAGTTACAACTCCGTGCCGAAAATTATATTGGCATTCGTAGTAGCTACATACAAGGTGTAAAAACGCATCTTTCTAATACTTTTATTGCCCGACAGTTTACAGCAATAAAGACCAATTGTAGCCGATTGTGTCCTAGACATCGAACAGAAGGCTTTGATTGTTATTGCAATGGTTCTACGTCATCACTGGAAGAATAGTAGATAAATGTTTGGGCCCCTATAACCAGCTTATTGAAGTGAAGCCTGAATGTTTCTTTGAACTCTTTGGCAAATGCCACCAGTTTTCTTTCCAAATGAACTTTGCTTGAGTAATCCCCGCTTATTGACAGAGTGGTTCCTTTCAGCTTGTGTGCCCTCGTAAGTGCATTTTGCTTCTCTTCGAAGGAACAAAATTGCTACAATAGACCTATTCTTCGAGGTAGTAAAAATTGAGGGACCCTTAAGCTTCGCCTTTAAGAGTTGAATGCGATAGCGAAATCTGGCTCCTAGTGCACCTTTCAACCGCTAAGTGCATACTTATTCATAGGTTTTGTTACATACACATGCACGCACACAAACACGCACACAGTATATTGGACCAGCACACACTATTATCGCCGAATGGGTTCGCTTTCGTCATGACACCTGTCGAACAAAATGCGTTAAAGGGTCCCTGAAACACTTTTTCAAGTAACTATGGAATGAATTCACTAGAAGAGCTTATTGCCTCACGAATTCAACATCGCAAAATTTTAAAAATCCGCCCACTGTGAGTGGAGTTACAAAGGTTTGTCGCATGCTGTAATTGCATTATCCGACGAGAGAATTGCCGACGAGAGAAGAGAAGCTGTTGTGTGCTATCATCATCAGTGGAGGGAAGGAGAAGACGACATTACGGCTGCAATTTTCGGCTGTGCTATACGTACTAGTGAAAAAAAAAAAAGCACATTTTCATAGGGAAATGCGGGGGAGTGCAAGAAAAACGCGAGTGCGAAGATTACGCAAGTAAATAAGGTATGTGCTGCTCAATCTCTGCCATGGTTTTAAAAGGCACTGTTGCTAATTTTAGCCGCAGATGTGAGTGAACATACTCTGGTTACTGTGAAAGCTAGATGAGAACATAAATGATGGGATGACTCGCTAGCTGCCACTGTCATCATCTGTTCATTACTATTGTCCTACACTGACACATAAGCAACAGGTTCTGCAAATCTGCAAGGTTGTGTTTTGGGATCCTAAAGAATGCCATCGCCGCCTTGTATGAACACCTCTAACTGGATCAACAGTCCACTGCAGCATTCATATTGTAACGAACAAATACAGTGCCGGAAGCTAAAACAGCTATTTATTAATAGGCGAACTTGTGCCCGTCAACTAAATACACAAAGGTTGTGAGCTCACTGGTCAAAACCTCGTCAACTTCTCCTGCGTCTCGCCTCGAGCTGCTCCTCGAAAAACCACCAGCGTTCCTTGTCCAGCGCGTGATGTGGAGACACCTGCAGCCAGCGTTGCATGGCGCGTTTGGCTTGGCGCGTTTAGCTTGGCGCATTTGGCTTGTCAGTTGGTGTGGCAGAATTCATAAGAGCAGGAAGCGGAGCAAGACTTCGGTAGGTGCCTTACAACATGCGGAAATATAGGAATGCAGATCTACATTTTTCTTCTCAGAATCAACAGTCTATCACTTGTTATAAATTCCTGAAGAGCATGCTACCATGACATCGCTTGTACCACCGATACAGTAGTTGATTGCGCAATGAAAGGCCACATGTGCTACACACCTCCGTGAGACGTGCCCGTTCCTCAAGGTGTGCACGTGTGGCCTCCGAAGGCTTCTTCTCCTCACTAGGCTTTGGGTCGTCCATCATGGGCACCAGACTCTGAAGTGTCACGTCAGGCTACACGTTGGGAAGAAAACACGAATTGTCAGGGTTAACTGTGCTACAGCTTGTGTGAACAAGCTGAAATTGCCTCACCAGCAACTGGCTCCTACTGCAGAAAAAAACATGAGTGTGCAACTATCCAACTGCTTCCTTGTTTGATGTTCACTACACAAGGATCAATGTAGGTTACTTATGCCGTGTCAACAGTTCGAAACTTTGATAAGCATTCATTAGACTTGCCTATGAGTTCAGTGTGCAATACGTTTTGAGGACTTGCAGCATGCATCATACCATTTGCAATCAATACAGTTAACTGCTTATAACAAACCTCCATTAAATGAATTCCTGCACATAACGAATCTTTTCAATTCCCTGCCGTTTCTCCATAGAAGCACATGTATTTGCGACTTCTATATAACAAACAGTGGGAGACAACCTTGATATAACGAATTTTATTCACGAACAATCTAGAAATTTCACACTGCATTTTGGCATTTCGCCACGAGCATGCATCTTCCGCGGCTGCTCCCGCCGCCAACGAAGCGCGAAGCGGCGGTGCACCAGGTGAGAGCGAGTGCTTGTTATTTTGAGCAGGTGAGCGCGAGACGGGCAGGCGGGCCAGCACCGTACCAGCCGGCATTACCTCCGTTGTCGCCGCCCCATGCGCGAGTTTGTCCCCCCCCAAAAAAATCTAGTAAATCTATTAAAAAGGAAATCTCGTAAATGTTTGCACGCACGTGTTTATCTTTCGATGGAGAGAATTGCGTGCCTTCAACTTTGACCGGAACGATTGCCTTTAATTGCCGGGCACACAAAGATCACTTCGCTCGCTGACAGGCGCCGCTTGCGAAGAAAGTGCGCTTTTCAAGGCACAGCAAAGTAACAACTGGGGTACGTGTTAGTTCATTCTCATATCTGTACCTGTGATTACATTTCGTGCTAGTTTTTTTTTTAACAGCACGTTAAGCGTCTAGTGCTAAACGTTGTTAGTTCACTTCTGTCTCCTGTGTATGTTGTTTTCATGTGTCATTTGTGCGTGAGCAGCGCGCTGCACGTTTCGATCTGCTTGCTCAGCGTTACATTCCAAGTTATTGCTAATGCATTCGTTGCTTCGCCCTTGCAATGAAACTGTCACTTTTCTTAATTTCAGACAACCGTGTTCTCCCCACCGAGGGGATGTCAGATTAGACGCTCATGGAAACTCTCCGAGACCTCTGTGACAATGGACCTTTGGAGGTCGACTCGTCACGCGCTTCCCGTCTCGCGCCACGCCGCGAGTTCATAGGCTGATAGCTTTCGCGATTGGCCGATTAGTTCTGGCAACACTACGCCGCGTTGAATGCAATTCAATGAACGCGATAGCGATTAATTGTAATGTTTTATCAACTAAGGCTGGCAGCCAACTCTTGTGGGGGTGCTGACATCCCCTGTAAGGTTGTTTGTGCCTCAATGCTTGTGTCTCGCACAAAAGCCACATTTAGGGGTCACAACTATTGAGCGGTAGGTGGCATCGTGCTTGTGAGTGTTTATCGCCACCATCATCATCATGACTAGCAAACCTTAGCGCCGGCGTAGACACCTGGCGGCGAGCCTTGGCGGCGGCGAGCACGAAATAAACTGCTCTCTCTTGGCGAGGGACGGTAGCGCGGACGGTTGGCTCCAGCGGTGGGTCTGCCGTGGACGGCACCGTGGGCCGTCTGCGGTGGGCCCACGTGGTGAGTCAGGCGTTGGCGACACCGCCTAGTTTGCCATGTTGTTGAGTGTTGTTTAATATTGTGTAAGGATGTCTTAGCGTGTTGATCACGATTGATGTTATAGTAATCCGGCTGACGATATCATCGCTTCTAAAACTAGGTAAATAAATGTGTGTTGTTGTTTGGTCGGTACAAACCCATCTACTGTGTCCGTCACTCCAAGAGCATGGCGCTCGCTCACCATTTGGAGACCCCACACTCTCTTGGACGTGATATCACGGAACTCCTATAAAACGCTGGTGTGAGCAAATGCGGCCGTTCCAGGGAGAAGTGCTCGTTTCTAACAGTTGCTTCACGATGAAACCGCACAGATACTTGCCGAGATAGCAAGCGCGCCAGCGATCGCGACAGCCCTTAAAATCCAAGTTCATTATTCGTACTCGAGCGATCCCTCTACCCCCCTCCCCAGGTTGTTTTATGTTCGTTCAAGATGGGTGCTTTACTTTCTGTTTGAGCATTCCACGGCAGTTCTAACACGTGGAAGATGTTATTTTATGCACTTTGCAGGCGATAGGGATGAGAAGACTCATCTGATCTCTGCTACAGCGCTCGTGTGCTTTTACTCGCTCGAGAGTTACGACGCAATGCGCGGGGGCATGTTATCAATTTGGACTTGTTACGAAACACGAAGGTGACAGCGAAAACCTGCCGAGTATATATACAATTCCTGTTGCAATAATAACGTACTTTTTTACTGTAAAATGAGTGTTTTGGGTTAGCTTTACCTTCAGTCCCCCTTTTGTTTTATTTGCACATTTATTTTCCAAATTTTCTTAACGAACCTGCATATAACAAAATCTTCTTTATAACAAATTTTTTCGGGAATTTATCAATTTTGTTATATCCAGGTGTAACTGTATAAGCGACGGTGCTGGCCTGGGCCATTTCAGAATGGGCAAAATAATTGCTGAGGCCACAGAAATAAGCTTCTGGAGCACGCGCCCATAAAAGCCAGTGCAAAACGCATGCCCAGCTATCATAATAGAGAAACAATAACAAGGAGGAAATGTGTGGTATTGAGACTAACAATATATATTTAAAATGTAGTTTACTTAAATTTAGAAATGTAGTTCACTTGAGGAAGGTCAGGGATCTTAAAAACTCAATTTAACAAATGTATTTTTTGTATTTACAATTTTGAAGTATTTATTTACTAAGTTATACTCTGGAAAAGCGTGTTATGCTATTGCAAAACAGTAGAGCTGAGTGAATAGTGAAATTGTGGGTGTGAAGCGAATTCGAATTTTAAAGCTGGAGTGCAAATCGAATAGAATATTTTTCAAAGAGTACTAGTTGTTGAATATTAGTTTAATATTTTTTGAATACTTCAAAGTGAAATAATGTTCACTTCTCTCTCGAAGTGAAATTACAAAAAAAGGTAGCAGAGGATCACTAAACACATTCTTATAAGATAAGAACATGAATGTGTTTTTTTTTTTTTTTTTGATAAGTTGTTGAAGTGCTTGAGGGATGGCGTTCCGAGTCGTTCTATTGAGAACAAGGTGATGCAGAGGCCGAGTTGTATTTGTTTACATAATTTGGTGCAACCAATGTGGTGTCACAATACTTTACACGTGAAAGGCACAGACGCTATTTTCTCCATTTTTCCTTCTTCTCCAGCTTCTGGGGAGCCCCAACTCATCTGGCTTTCGAATTCGGACTTTCTAATCTGCCACGTATCTAGATGTCAACCTCTAAGAACATCTGTAATGTCGTGTACTAAAAATCTTCGGTGTCTCATTTTTTGGACTTTCTGCCCAAATTTAAGGTCTGAAACGGGACCAATTAAAGCCCCTGCTCTGCTGTGTCAATCACATCTATGTTGGAACCAGCAATTTCTCGAGTGAATAAATTTTAGGGTTTTGTTAGCTGGACTATATTTCACAGCGACTTCATTGTTCCCATAAGATAAAATAAGTAAGTTGCCAGACTGACACATTTAAAATGTAATTTTTTCCCAGGATGATAAGGCAGTGGAATAGGTTGTCTTCTGAAGTAGCACTTCTCATGAAGCAATCCCAAGTTCACAGCTGGGTCTCCAGCAGTGCACTCACGCGGTTGCGTAAGGACAAAACTGTACAATATACTTGCTTTATATCTCATGTATCACTTCGTAAGGCGATTGTGAATTGCGTTATATTTGTAATATTGATGCATTGGAATCTGTATTCTTTATTAAATTACTGTGTTCTATATTCTAATGCCAATGGGTACTGTGGGTACTACTATACCCTGATATATTCACGATTTAATGGCATCAAACTTGTTAGAGTTCACCTATGTACCAATTGTAATTACGAAAGAGAAGGGCAGATGGAAATGAGCAAGAGTGGTGCTGTCATTGAACCGCAACAAAGTTTGGAATCATAGTGCAATAATCAGCAGTAACTGCATGGGACACTAAGAAATTGGCGGAATCGATGCTTCTGTGCAAAATAAAATGGGAACTCACACTTTACAGTATCACTTGCCTCACTTCTAGCTCCAACTGCCATTTGCACCGCAAATACGGTGCTCACAAGACACCTCCTTGTCATGTTCGAAGAATTACTGAAGTTTTAGTGTATGCACACGAGGACAGAGACAAAAGGATTACAGGAACCAGTGTGGTCCTTGTAATCCTTACGTCTGTGTCCTCGTGTGTGTGCCCTAAAGGTTCAGTATTCAGCAAAACCAACTAGCCCACATTTCAGTATTACTTTTTCAAAGAATTAGTTTCACTTATGAAACCTACGGTTGAACCTTTGGCACACAGTGAGCGAAGAGCCGTGATATTTTAAAGAAAATATAGCAGAAGTTTGAAGGGTTAGGCCTGTGGCCTTCGGAGACATAGCTTCTGCGATAGTTGCCACTCCCGCTGCCAGAAACACACCAACCTCGATGGGCGTATACTGGCTGCTGGCCACAGCTGCACTCTGGTCACTGCAGATGCTGTGCACCCGATGGAGCTTCCTGAAGAGCAGCCCGACATTGCGCAGTGTGTCCTGCAGCTTGATGCGGCGCTCCTCCTGGCCCTGCATGCTGGTTGCTACCCCAGTTGGCGGCTGTGCCAAGAAGACAAGTCAATCCTTAGGAGCCCGCTTTAAAGGAACTTTCCACGGTGAAAACGAAACATATTTCCAACATCCACAAAAAAATTCCCCCCTATTGAAGAAGAATGTAGGAGCACCTTTCCTGTTAATAACAGTGTTCTTTTTTTTATGCTGCAACACTTACTGCATTTACAGTTACTCGCATAATTTGTGCACTTTTTTTCGCGATTTACAGGCCACGAGAAAAGGGCGCGCCAATTCCACAGAAATTTCGCGAGGGCGTACGAAATATTTCGTCACAGTCCTAAAGCGTGCAGTATATACGTCTAAAAAATTGGAGCAAGGCACGAAATGTACTTGTTAATTTAGAATACTTAGCATATACTTTAACCAGTCAGATCCGGTCACACGCGGCATAGTGGGAATCATTGATCGCGAAGTCCGATGAAGAGTCATCTTCGCGGCCGCTGCCACCGCCCTCCCAGAGCGCATCGTCCTCTTGTCGAGCGTGTTCGTATGCCCCATTTTCTTGAAGCTCTTCGCAGCAATGGAGTGGGAAACTAGGTTCACGATACGGCGAAACCAGGTGACTTGAGCGTTCACACATTATTAAAAAGGCCTTCTTCAATGGTAGAAAACTTGCATTTAAAAGCGCGCACTCCTCTGTTTTCTCGCGTACCGATCACACCGATCGTTACCCGTTAAAGTACGTCACCTTGAAGTGCATTACGGTGGCACGGTTTCTGTTTTCTTCTGCAAAATTTACAACAACGAGCTTGAATTTCACTGTATATATAATTACTGAAGCACATTGCAAGGGGAACCAAAAAAAACACGTCGACCAGATGGCAAAACCCAAACTTTCGAAATCAACCAAGTGTGCATTGCAGCGCAGACGCAGAGAATGAGGGGAACGATTGATGCGAGAGGCCGTACAGCTCGCATGCCTCCAATGCAGTAAGTTGGTCGCGCTGTGACGCGAGCGTGCATTCTCACGGCGATAGAGATGGGGAGATAGAGGGAGGCAAACGCTCAAGCAGTTCTAGTGATCCGTCAACAGCTAGGTTTGAGCGTTCGTGCAGGGTATTCTAGAGACCCTAGTTCGGGAGAAGTCCTCGGAAGAATGGACTGGCTACTCGCAGCCTGTTTGACTGCACTTGTCTGCTAAGCGAGGCACGCGCCCGTGCGAAGCATTGGAATGTCTCTTCATCCGCACACCAGCGAGCTGGCTCGGGTGGGTCGGGGAGTGCAAAATATGTGAATAAATCTTTTTTAGCAAAGCTGGCCAAATATTAGGGGTGCGCCAATCATACAAGTAAATACGGTAATTCACCATTCATCGTTTTTCAGCCTGAATGCGTTACCATTATTGCCCAGATGAAGAAATTGTGCGGAACCTGAACAGCGAGAATTAGTGCAGCTTCTCAGTGTAATCTCCGAAACTGTAGAGAGAGAAAGACAGAGAAATTGCCCAAGAATCTCAATGTCAAAAAACAGCAATTTGTGGCCCATCTGCTAATAAATGTGTATCATGTGCTGCTAATAAAAAAGAATCGTCACATTGCCTGTCCTCCAGTGCCAAGGCTGCTACCAGTATAGCATTTTCCACTCAGAGAAATCAATTTATCCTTGGTGGATGCTCACGGCACGCAGACTTCAAAGTTCACATCATCTGAGATAGCCCTACCATTGGAAGGATGATCATGTGTCATTTTCTTGTGGTTTTCTGTGATATTCACCCCACATGCGCTATGATCAATGTTCCAAAGGTTTTTAAGGAAAAGGGTCTTGGTTTGACATTCACATGTGAAGCTCCTCAAAACAATTTCCTTCAGTTTTCAGATTAAGGCTTTACATTCGCTCTGGACCACGTTTGCTGGCTTTTCTCACCAAGACCTAGTAAGTCGCCGCTGCATCGGCACATTCGCATTTGGTCAAATGTCCAACATTTGCCTGTACCAAGAAGAAAGCAGTTTCGTTAGACTGGCAGCGTAAAGCCAGGTTTCCAGATGATGTTCTAGTGTCAGCGGCTAGCAGAATTGAAAGCAAAATAAATATTGAGTTGGCTGCTAGTACGTATGTCATTGAGCAACAGAAGATGACAGAGAAGCTTGTTGTCATTCCTTATCTAGATGAGGTGTCACATTGGTTAAAAAAAGGTTCTGGCAAATTATGGTGCATGCGGTCAGTTTTTAGCAAAGAAAATGGTTGGTAAGGTGTGTGCAACCACTGACATTAAAAGAAACAGGATTCGAAAACGGGTGCACTGTAAATCATCAGTAGAGGCTTGACGAGTGTCAATCGGGATGGTGTACCGTGTGCCCCTTGCTTGTGGTGGTCAGCGCTGCCTCAATGTACACCTTAGAGAGCGCTATATCTCTAAAAGGCACACCGTATACGCATTTGACAATGCACAGTAAGAGTAGTAATAGATGTTCACCGCTTTTTGAGGCGAAGCAGGTATTGTTGACTCACAAGCATCACAAGGCAAGGAAAATTGTGGAGGCTGTCTCAATAAAACAAGAAAGCAATAGGCGTGAGCCACCCGTTCATACACCTACTAGGAGCGGAGCACATGTACCTTCGGAAAAGCTTGAACTCGCATTATTTCGTAGTTTTGTAGATCACCCCTGCTTTCTGGGTTTACGAATGGTATCACAGTCTGTTTTGATGGATTTTCACACAGCCTCATATAAGTGTCGTTTTTGCTGACTATAAGATGCAGGTTTATTTACCATTAAACTTTGGTTTACAGTAGTGCCTGTACTGTGTCTCGTTTTCCCTGCGCTACGCTTCGACATGAACCAACACGTCCAGTACTCTAAGGTACTTTGGGAAAAAAAATGATGACATTACGCGGCACACTTGATAAGAACCCTGTAATGGCTGTCACACGAAAGTGGCACGCTCTTCATGCATTGTCAATGCTCATAATCGAAAACTCAGTTTATCAAATAGCAGCTGTGACACTGATTAAGCATGCAAGAATCCGCTCTCGATGAAAGCGAACAGGTAGCAAGTTTTATTGAATTTATGAGCCGTAATTTTTGAGAATTAACCAAGACAAAAGAGAGACTGTTTAGAAAATAGTATTACTGGCCAAACTGTTTTAAAGATGTCGAGAAGTTTGTTCATAGTTGTCGCATTTGTCTGCAACTGGAAGAGCAAATTACCAATGCAAGGCACATTGTGACTGCAGGTTCCTTTAATAACCAAGCCATTTCGTCGAGTCACAGTTGGCATTGTGGAGTTCTTGCTGGTGATGAAGTCGGGACATACACATCTCTTGACAATTGTGTGCCATGCAACCATACTTCCTGGGGCCATGCTGCTAATTTATCTTACAACAGCAGAAATAGTAGATACCGGTGATGAAGTCGGGACATAAACATCTCTTGACAATGGTGTGCCCTGCAACCATACTTCCTGGGGCCATGCTGCTAATTTATCTTACAACAGCAGAAATAGTGAAGGTTACTCTCTCTGGCAAGCCCATTCTGACAAGCCTACACCACTCGAAATCCTTTCTTGCATAGCGTGACAAGTGAAAAAAGGGTGTTGGTGTGACTTCCAAGCTGGTCACGAGCATCCAATTCTGGGCATGAGCCAAAAGCGTCTGCTCACGAACAAGCTTAGAGTACCATAGAAAAAGAATGCCCATGCCTGCTGTGGAAAAAGCTTTTATGTTATTTGACTCGTGCAGAATTCATTTTCACATACAGATCATCATCTTCCTACGTGGCTTCAACTGATGTCCGACAATAATGGCTTGTTGCATTAAACGCTCAGTTTGTAACTGTATGCGTTTACGGTTAAACAGATTGCAGCACACAATTGCGGATGGTCTGGGCACCACTTTTTCTTCCTTGGCACCCATCGGCACCAAAATTGATTCTGTCTTCATATGCAACCGCAACTGCTGCCAGCCCTTGACAACAAATTTTGTTTACAACTGAAAAGTTCTCAAAACACTCCCTCCGTGTATAAAGGTGCGATTTGGCCGGACTTGGCAGTCGTTTGTGGTGTTTGCAGGGGTGCTGGCTGCTTTGATTATGCCCAGGACCCTGGCCCTAGATTTTATGATGCCTGCAGTTCCCTGCCACATCACACACTCCAAAACGTTTCAGCACGTTGGCCTAACAAACAGCCTTTCCGCAAAACCACATGGAATGCTTCCTTCGACTATGAAACTTGTGCACCGAGTTGTTTGACCTCAAATGACCTGAGGCCCCATAGCTTAATCCTTGAAGACAACAGTTGCCAAATACTTTGGCTCTTTTGAGCACCTTGAAAATGCCTGTTAAGCATGTACAGTGTCAATTTTTATGAAAGGAAACATGGCGACACATTGTCTGCGCGCTCCAGCGGCTGCTGGCAGCGTGTTCAAGTGGGAGCGAGAGCAACCACATTCTCTCCTCGTGTCATCTCGCGGTGAGCAAAAACAAGACGTCAGTGCTGATGTGGAATTCCTGGCAAGATTGCAACCCCTCCCCCTTTAAGGCGATTACCAGCTCTCGCATAATCGCCTTCAAGGGGGAGGGGGTCGCAATCTTGCTGCTGATTCCATATCAGCAACGAATGGTTGTTTTGCTTGCCGCGAGATAACGCCAAAAGAGACTGTGGTTGCTCACGCTCCCGCTTGAACACGCTGCCGGCAGCTGCCAGAGCGTGCAGGCCACGGGCTTCCGTGTTCCCTTTCATAAAAATTGACACTGTACAAGGCTGAAGTGGCGAAAACCTGCAAAAGTGTTGTTCTGTCGAAATGTTCAATGTTTAGCAACAACCAGTTCGTGTGCAGATGTCCCTTTTCTCCTAGTTGTTCTTCCGTGAGGAGGGGCTTTTGCGATAGGGCGCTGTGCATCATCGCTTATCCACCAGCACGCAAGCCTGGCTCGGCTGTTCCATACGATATTTTGTTGTCACGCATGTACTTATTGTTCCCCTCCCCCAGAGATCATTTACCTTGTCCTTTCATACAGGAAAGCAGACCACACTGTGGGGGCCACTTTCTT